TGAGCAAGGCATGGGGGTGCGCACAGGCAGCCCCCGGAAGTAGCCCAGGCTGGCCTCAACGGGCCCGCGGGGTAGTCTGGGGCGGCCTCAATCAACACCGGCCCAGTGGCGTAGCCGTAGGCGGCGCCACTGGGGGACAAGCCCCGTTGCTGCTGGTGCACTGGCGCCCGCCCAGCGCACGGCGCCTTGGGGTCCCTCGTTGCACACAGGGGATCGGACCTCCGTTTTTGTCGGGAGGAGACACATGAAAGGGGTTCGAGGGTGTTCAGAACGAGAATGATGTCATGATGCGATTGGCTCAGGATACGTTCTAGGAATTCCGTAGTATCTAGCGGCCGTCGTCTCTGCAGCCCTTGTGAAACATCAGGAAATCTGGCAAATCCTGGAGATATTAGGAACTATTGGACCGTATCATTATCGTGACCTCTTACCCCTCTGAGTGCTAACACCAGCCCAAGAGTACCCTGGGGGACATCTTGAGGCCAGCCTGGGGTTCCCCTGGGGCCGCCCGTGCGCAATCCCAAGCTTTGCAAGTAGGACTGGCGTGGGTGCACCGAGAACCCCCTGACCACCGGCGGCGGGGCGCGGACGGCGCACGAATGCCGACGGGGGGGGGCAGCATCGCGGCGCCCGGCCGCGGCCTGGCCAGGCAAGGAGCCGGAACGGTTGCGGCCGCCGCGCTCGCTGTCGCCGCCGTCGCCGCCGTCGGCGTTGCCGGGCAGCTCGCCCGAGGGCGCTGGCTGCCGAGCGGAGCGCGCAGCAGCAGAGCAGAGGCCGCGGGGGCATGAGCGAGGAACGTCGGGGACGCAGGCGCGGATCCAGAAGCCCTGCTGGCAACATCAGGCGCCGCGGAGCTGCAAGTGGAGAGGGGGCACGCGGAGCAATGAGCCTGCCCCAGATTGGTACAAGCCGTTCGGAAGAAGCTAGTAGAGGCATGAAGTAGGCAGGCGGTCAAAGCAAGTCGGGTTTCGGCACGCGCCCAAAGAGGACGCGTCTTGACGAACTCAGTGCGCTGCTCTCCCTCCCCCCCTCCCCTCCCATTTCCTCCCTCCCCCCGCCACCACGGACCTGGTTGGCGAGGACTACCGACGATCCCTGGCATACCACATCGCGGGGCTTCCCGAATCTCCTCGGCGCGCCTCCTCTGGGGGGTGCAATCACACATTCCTCAAACAGTGTTTGCACTTAGGGGTTCTCGTTTCTTTTCTGAGGAAGTGGGCCTGCGGGCCGGTCTGGGGGCTAAAGTCATCGGCCCGACCTACAGAAAGATAAATCAGCGGACCCTGTCGGCGTGTGGGAGGGGCTTTTCCGTCTTCCCCACAGCGTCGTCGCCTCTTCTGCTTTCCGAGGGCTCCCTACACAAGTCCACACAAAATTTGAACAACGTCGTCCTTCAGTCGAAGGGAAGCCCCTTCCCTTGATCCCTTCCCTGCCGGGGGGGGAGGGTGGGGGTCCTGGGGCAACTCCCGGGGGGGGATCCCCCCCAACTCCCGGGGAAGGGTCCCCCCCAACTCCTGGGGGGGGCCCCCCTCGGATACGCAGCCCCCCGCCTCTCATCCTCCTGCGTCCTTGGGCTCCGTTGGCCCTCTGGGGCCGTCTGCGGGCCCTTTGATATCCCTTCCCCGCCGGGGGGTGGGGGGGGTCCCGGGGCAACTCCCGGGGAGGGTCCCCCCCTCGGATACGCAACCTCCCGCCTATCATCCTCCTGCGTTCTGGGGCTCCGTTGGCCCTCCGGGGCCGTCTGCGGGCTCTTTCAGCCTATCTTAAGGCTCCCTGGAGACCTTTCGCCATTTTTAGACTCTCTTGGCAGCCTCTGGCGGCACTCTTGACAGCCTCTGCGGGCGCTTTTGGACCTCGCTTGACGCCGTCCTGGGCCCCTCTCGGGCCACTTGAGGGCGCTCTTCGCTTATCTTGGCACTCCCTGGAGCCGTTCCCGAACCCTGGAGGAGGTCTCTTGAGCTGTCTTCGGACGACCTTGCAGGCATCCGGCGCCGTCTTCGAGCCATCTGAGGGCATCTTGGACTCCTCTACCTCCATTGTCTTCGTCGTCGTTGCCTACAGGGTCGGCGGCATCGGCCATAAGGCCTTCGCAATAAGGAACGAAGCCCCTTTTTGTCCAAGGAATAACGCATAAGGAACGATACATAACAAATATCGCAGAAGGAACGACAAATAATGCATGCAAGCCAAAGGAACGACCGAGCCCCTTTTGAAAAGCAGGTATTCCTTCTTCAAGCCGCTCACTGTATGTTGTCGTCGTCGCCGCCCCGTCGCCAACTCGTGTCCCGCCCGTCGTCTGGGCCTGCGGCCCGCTCTTGCGGCTATGGTGTCGCCGTCGCCGCCTTGTTACCGCCTCGTCGCCCGCCCGTCGTCTGGGTCTGCGGGCCGATCTTGCGGATATGTTGTAGCCTTCGCCGCCCCGTCGCTGCCTCGTCGCGGCCTCACAGAATTCTCCTGTCGAAAAGAATAATAGGATCGACCTCCCTCGAAATGAATGGTCCCCCTCGCGTAGCGCAAATTACATCTGATGCTGCCCCGTCGTCCATCCGTGATATGAACCCGTACCATCCCAGCCAGACCGGTATCGCCCCCCCCCCCCCCTACACACACATCCTCTGCAGCATATTCCACGCGCGCACACCTGTTCATCAACAATCCGAGTTCCCCCCCAAAAAATTAGCCTGGCGAAGGACCCAACCATATGCAGTTGTGAGTAATGCTGGTGTGAGTACCGTCTTCGGTGGATCTCCCTGTGGGGCCACGAACCGTTTGAGGGGTGTGCCGAAATGGGTGTGGGGGCGGCATGCGAACGTTGCCACTGGGGCCTTCGGTGGAGCTCCTTATGGGGCCACGAAACGTGTGAGGGGTGCACCGAAGTTGCTGTGGGGGCGGCATGCGAACGCAGCCACTGGGGCCTTCGGTGGAGCTCCCTGTGGGGCCACGAAACGTGTGAGGGGTGTGCCGAAATGGGTGTGGGGGCGCATGCGGACCCTGCCACTGGGGCCTTCAGTGGAAATCCCCATGGGGCCACGAAACGTGTGAGGGGTGTGCCGAAATGGGTGGTGGGGAGGCATACCAACCAGGCTACTGGGGCCTTCGGTGGAGCTCCCTATGGGGCCACGAAACGTGTGAGGGGTGTGCCGAAATGCGTGGTGGAGAGGCATGCGGACCCTGCCACTGGGGCCTTCGATGGAGCTCCCTATGGGGCCACGAAACGTGTGAGGGGTGTGCCGAAATGGGTGGTGGGGAGGCATGCGAACCCTTCCATTGGGGCCTTCGGTGGAGCTCCCTATGGGGCCACGAAACGTGTGAGGGGTGTGCCGAAATGGGTGGTGGGGAGGCATGCGGACCCTGCCACTGGGGCCTTCGGTGGAGCTCCCTATGGGGCCACGAAACGTGTGAGGGGTGTGCCGAAATGGGTGGTGGGGAGGCATGCGAACGCTGCCACTGGGGCCTTCGGTGGAGCTCCCTATGGGGCCACGAAACGTGTGAGGGGTGTGCCGAAATGGGTGGTGGGGAGGCATGCGAACGCAGCCACTGGGGCCTTCGGTGGAGCTCCCTATGGGGCCACGAACGTGTGAGGGGTGTGCCGAAACTGGGGCCTTCGGTGGAGTGGGGCCACGAACGTGTGAGGGGTGTGCCGAAATGGGTGGTGGGGAGGCATGCGGACCCTGCCACTGGGGCCTTCGGTGGAGCTCCCTATGGGGCCACGAAACGTGTGAGGGGTGTGCCGAAATGGGTGGTGGGGAGGCATGCGGACCCTGCCACTGGGGCCTTCGGTGGAGCTCCCTATGGGGCCACGAAACGTGTGAGGGGTGTGCCGAAATGGGTGGTGGGGAGGCATGCGGACCCTGCCACTGGGGCCTTCGGTGGAGCTCCCTATGGGGCCACGAACACGAAAGGGGTGGAGATGGGGGTGTGTGTGCCGAAATGGGTGGTGGGGAGGCATGCGGACCCTGCCACTGGGGCCTTCGGTGGAGCTCCCTATGGGGCCACGAAACGTGTGAGGGGTGTGCCGAAATCGGTGGTGATGATGATGATGATGATGATGCTGATGATGATGATGATGATGATGATGATGATGATGGGAGGAGGGAGGGGGGGGAGGAGGAGGAGGAGAGGAACGCGGGGCACCGTCTCTTCAAAACGAGGACCCAACACCACAGGATGGTTGGGAACAAAACCCGCAAGAAGCATGACGAAGTGAGTGCACACGTGGGCGTCGTCGCATGCCGAAATCCTTCAAAAACATTAATCTGGTGCCGTAGAGATTTCAAAATCGAGCGTCTCGGAAACAGATAAGAGCACGTGGCTTGCAACATCCGCTTTCATCATGAAAACCAAAACAAAACCTGCGCTCGCGGGCTTGCAGATTCTGACACAATGTCATAACATGCAGCCAACATCTCGCGCGCGCGTCGGAATCACGGGAACGCCCTTGCGCGCGTGCTGCCGCGAGGAAACGGGACGGAATGCACACGCGCGCGTCGTCGCGCGGGCATGGCGAGATGCTTAAACGACCGTAGGTTCCGTACATATTCGAAAACCGAGCGCGCCGAAAACATATACAGACCACGTGGCTTTCCAACATTAGCTCATTTAAGAAAACGCCTGCGGTCGCGGTTTTGCAAATTAAACGCCAGCGGCTTCCCAATCTGACCACAACATGCTACAAAACGGGCCTCCCGCGTGCTAGTTTCGGAATCG